TCTTCTTTATGCAATCTCCAGTTGATGGGCAATTAGGCTGTTTCCAAGTTTTAGCTATTACAAACTGTGCTGCTATAAACATGGGTGAGCATATATTACTGTGGTATAATTCATTGGCAAAGATACCCTGCAGAGGGATAGCTGGGTCAAATGGAACCTCTAATCCTAGTTGTTTGAGTTATCTCCATATTGATTTTCACAGTGGTTGTACGAGTGTACACTCCCATCAACAATGGAGAAATGTTCCTTTATGCCCACAGCCCTGCCAGCATTCGTTATAGGTTGATTTCTTGATAGCAGCTATTCTTTCCGGGGTGAGATGGAATCTCAGTGTTGTTTTCATCTGCATCTCTTGAATGACCAGTGATATTGAACATTTTTTCATATGTTTATTTGCTGCTTTTACTTCTTTGTCTAAAAAATGTATTTTCATTTCAGATGCCCATTTTTGAATTGGGCCTTTATATTTGGGGGACCTGATCTTTTTAGTTCTTTATGTATTTTGGATAGTAGACCTTTGTCTGAGGAACAGCTGGTAAATTTTTTTTCCCACGTTGTAGGTTGTCTCTTAGCTCTGTTGCTGGTTTCTCTTGCAGTGAAGAAGCTTTTAAAAAAGATGAGATCCCAGTTGTTGATTCTTTGTGTTAGTTCCTATGCTATGGAAGATTTGTTCATAACGTCTTTTCCTATGCCTATATCTTCAAGGGTTCTACCTAACCTGTCTTCCAACAAGTTTATTGTTTCTATTTTAATATTTAAATCTTTAATCCAATTGGATTTTAGTTTAATGTATGGTGAAAGATAGGGGTCTAGGTTTAATCTCACATAGTTTCTATTATATGAGAAACCCAAAATACAAATAAAGAACAAATAAAGGATAATAGGAGAAAGGGACATAATTTTTTTTAACTGGGAAGGAGATCGAGAGAAAGTGGTAGGGAGGAAAAGGGGATGAAAAAAATTAAGATGTGTTATATACAAGTAGCAACTTCCCACAAAGAATGTAATCAGTATGTAATGCAAAAATTTGCTAATAAAAAATAAAAATTAAAAGAAAAAAAGTACTCAGCAATGTACAGCTCCTCCAAAATCTTTGTCTTTCGTAAATTATCTGAAACTCTGGTTGCTGCTACTTGTTCATGTACTAAACAACAGATAGAAAATTTATATATTGGAATAGACAGGTAAGGAACTTTAATAAATAATTTATGTGCTATTATATTCTTTCAATATTTATAGTGTGAAAAACTATAGTAATACATAAGATCCTAATGAGATAATTGCCAATGTAAAATAGGAAGAAAGGGGCTAAAGGTGTAGGGAAAGGGTAGGGGAAAGTTAATAAGGGAAAAGAAAAAAATATGAGAAAATGAAAAGATGGAAATAAAGTGTTTGTAAATGGGGAGGGGAGGAGGGGGTGAAGGGAGGGCAGGGACAAGGGGAAAAGTGAGAACCAAGACCTGTCACATAAAGGTACAAGATGCCAATGATAAATGTAACTGTACTATATACCTAAAATGTACCAATAAACTCAATAGAAAAATACCTCCTTTGGCCCCTCATCACCCCACACCTGCCCCTTTTCAGCAGGAAGTAGCTACAGAAGAGAGATACTTAGCTCCTCTTCCCCAGGTCATAACAAATAAAAAAGGGAGGAATGTAAGATAAGATAAGAATGTAAGATCTTTAATAAAGATCTCTCATACAAAAAAGGCTATTTAAATGTTTAAGTAAATATTTAAGTAAATATTATTTAAGTAAATATTGTTAAGTAAAATTATTTAAATAAATATTTAAATAAACATTTAAATAAATTTCTGTATTTAAAGACAAAATTTTTGGATCTCCCATACTTGTATTTATCCTTAAGTTCCTCAAAGTGATAAGTATTAAGATAATAAGAGTTTGGATATAACTCCCACTTTCAAAGACAGAGTTTCTGAAAGTGAAGAATAAGAATGACATAATGGAGAATCATGCACACGTATTAGGACTCTCTCCTTATTAGTGGGACTTCGGGTGTTTTTCTTATAGCCAGGAGGGGGCCACATGGTCCGAATGCTTCCATTTCTTCATCTGCCACTGTAAATTTTGTGGGACTTTGGCATAATTCCAGGGTTTTCCATCTTGAGATAAGCAACAACCAAAATGTTTTTCTTTGTTTTTTCTTTTTATTGAGTTTATTGGTATATTCTAGGTATGCAGTACAGTTACATTCATTATTGGGATCTTGTACCTTTACATGACAAGTCTTGCTTCTAATTTTTTCCCCTTGTCCATGACCTCCTTTCACCCCCTCCTCCCCTTCCCATTTATAAACACTTTATTTTCATTTTTATTTTCCCTTATTCCCTTTCCCCTACCCTTCCCAGTTTTCCTACACCTTTAGCCCCTTCCTTCCTATTTCACATTGTTTATTATTCCATTAGGATCTTATGTACTATTTTAGTTTTTCACACCAGAGAAACTATTCAGTATTTACACATGTGTGACTTATTTATTTCACTTAGGAGCATATCCTCAAAATGTATTCATTTTCCTGTGAATGACTCTAATTTCTCATTCTTTATGCCAAAATATTTTTCTGAAGCTGTTAAAGGTCCTTCACAGTAGAAGATTTCTTAACTATTTCTGTTGGCCTCTAAACCAGATTTGAGACTTCAGGACTGTGCCTGTAGGTCCTTCACTTGCTTCCCTGAGACTTTAATGAGGTTATAGGAACATTTCAGGGCAGATTATTCAGACTGGGCAGCCCTACAGGGATCTTTCTTTTTGTTCCAATAAAAACAAACCTTACCTTGTTCACCTGCCTTGTCCCATCAGGGATCCTAAGGGAAGGTTTGAATGCTGGATTTTTTAGAGGAGTTACTGCATTTTAAAGAGATTGGAAGGTGTTGCATCTTCATTTTCTGAGAAATATCCCAAATCTTCCTAGGACATCCAGCCTCAGACAGGTCTAGGGGACTAAAGATCTCTTCCATTTAGTCCTGTTCAAAGAGGCTATAATATTTTTGGCACAATATGTCCTAAAATAATCTTTTCTGGAGTTGGAATCTCAGCCTTGTTTTAATTTACATCTCTCGAATGTCCAGTGATGTTGAACATTTTTCATATATTTATTTGCCACATGTACTTTCTCATTTAAGAAGTATGTATTCATCTCAGATGCTCAGTTTTGGATTGGGGATGGTCTCATTTTTAAAAAATTCATTATGTCTTGTAGATATTAGCCCTTTAGCTGAGGACCAATTGGCTAAAAGATTTTTCCACTCTGTGCGTTGTCTTTTCACTCTGTTGATGATTTCTTTTGCTATACAAAAGCTTTTTAATAAGATGATCCCAGTTGTTGATTCTTTGCAGTATTTCCGATGTCATCAGGGTTTTGTTCATGAAGTATTTGCCTACACATAGGTCTTTAAGAGTTCTACCCTATTCTCTCTTCCAGTAGATTTAGTGTTTCTGTTTTAATATTTAGATCTTTGAGCCATTCTGATTTTAGTTTAGTGAATGGTGAGAGATAGGGTTCTAGTTTTAGTCTTACACACATGTAAAGTCAGGTTTTTCCAGCATCATTTATTAAATAGGCTATCTTGCTTTCAGTGGCTCTTTTGTCCAAGATAAGGTATCTGAATATGTTAGGAGTTGCATCTGAATGTTTTAATCTGTTCCATCTCACTCCACAAAACATGGCTATTATCAGTAAATCAACCAATAATAAATGTTAGCAAGGCTGTGTGGAAAAGGAACCCTTCACCACTGTTGGTGGGAGTATAGATTTCCACTGTAGAAATCAGTATGGAGATTCCCCCAAAAAGCAGGAGTAGAGGATCCATTTGACCCAGCTCTCCCTCCCCATTCTCAGTATCTTCCTGAAATAATTAAAAGCATCATACCACAGTGGTATATGCACAACCATGTTTATAGCAGCATAGTTTGTAATGGCTAAATCTTGGAAATAACCCAGATGCCCATCAATGGAAGAATGGATAAAGAAGATTTTTCTTATATACAATGGAGAAGTACTCAGGCATAAAGGAGAATAAACTTGAGACATTTATAGCTAAATAGAAGCACCTAGGGACTATAGTCATAAGTGAAATAAACTGGACACACATGTAAATATTGTGTCATTTCTCTGGTGTGAGGAATTGAAAGTATAAAAAAAGGACCCAGATATATTATAGATATTGTGAAATAGGAAGAAAAAGTTCAAATGGGCAGGGTCACTAGGGAGGGGGAAGGGGAAGAGGAAGGAAGGCGAAAGGGGAAAAAAAGCTAAAAGAAAGATAAAATAGAAACAAAACTTTTGTAAGTTAAGAGGGGAAGGGGTTGAAGGGAGGGTAGGGAATGAGAGAAAAATAAGAATTAAGGTATATCATGTACAGGAATAAGTTCCATCTGATGAATGCAATCATTTTATATATATATATAAATATATATAATCATAACACTTAATACATAAATATATGTTTAGTAAACATAATTAAAATTAACTTGTTAAGTATTATGATATATTTGCACAAAAGATAGTAAAATGAAACAAAATGTTAATATATTTACCTATAAAAATAAAATAAAATAGCGTCTTCACAGAAGGAATTCATAAAATGCTGCCCACCATGGTGTTGAAGGGTTGGGCTGCTGTGACTCTCAAAGCACACGCTGCCCTGGAGCACCTTTCCCACCAACACATTTTGCTGGAGATTGACTTTCTCTTCTCTTGTTGAAAGATTTAATTTTCTTCAGTGTTGTGATTTTCAGGGGCAGGGCTTATTGTACCTACAACCCTGAATGGAATCACCTCTATTCATTGGTGGGTCAATAACTACAGTATATTATTTGTCTTATTCAATTTTATGCTCCTATTGAGTTCCCAGATTGACCTTTAAAATTGATGAAAACTATTTTAATTTATATTTTATCATGGGATTTATTAATATTGTGTTTTATCGGACTGCTATAAAGTTACTTGAGAATCTGAGGTGTGCGTGCTTTTGAAGGTACATGGCTCCTGAAATGCTTGATGATACAATGAATGTGAATATCTTCGAGTCCTTCAAACGAGCTGACATCTATTCTCTAGGTCTGGTTTACTGGGAAATAGCCCGGAGGTGTTCAATTGGAGGTAAGGTTTTGGAAACACTATTTGTATCTACTTTGGCTTGATATTCTGAATATGTGCTTTTCTTTTTTTTTTTCTAACCACAGTATTGAATCATTTCTAAATATCTAGGAGAATTTTTTTTGTTGATATGTTTCTAGTGGCAAAATCCTAATGAAGTTTTTACAATGCCTTGTTTAGATAGGGTGGCAGTTCTGATATTCTGAGTTCTATACTGATGTTTGGTAGGTACTCTTATTTGAGTTTTTGTGTAGTTAGCTTGTATCTTTATATCCTGAAGAAGTTAGTCTTGGGGATGAGGGTAGATGGTAGGGAGGGGAGGGAAAGGGAAAGTAACAAGAATCAAGATGTGATATGTATGTGTACCAATTCCCCATGGGGAATTTATTTATTGTGTACTCCAAAAATATACTAGTGAAGAAAGAGAGAGAAAGGAGAAGTCAAAAGACTTACCAAAGCCACAGAACTTGGAATATTCTGTTTCCTGGGCTGTTACATTCTGTTTTCCCCCTGACAAATGTGGAGGGATGAAGTAGAAAGAGAGGAACAAAAACAATCTTTCTGTCTCCACTGCTCCCAGGAATTTAGAAATTAGCAATGACACAAGAAACTGAGAGGACAAGGCTCTACAAATACAATCTGTTGAAAGTGCTTCATTGGTGGAGAAAAAATTAAAGATAGGAAATGGTTTAGAATTTCCACTTTCAAGTGAGACAGACTCAAGATGAAGTCTTGATTTAGCACTGTCTTGAATGAGATTGTTAGCAACTTAAATCTCAGTTCCTCACCTTTAAAATAAAGAAATCAAGATGTGTTGAATTTGGGTACCAGCTCTACACAATGAATGCAAACGTTATGTTCCGCATACGGGCCCTAGAAAAGAAAGAGGATCAAGAAGTGGAGGGAGGTCGGAGGGAGGGAGGGAAAGCAAAACAGATGAAAGAAGGACCTGAGATGTGTTATGTATGTACTAACGAAACATTTCAATAATAAAATAAAGGTAATCATGAAACTTACCCCTTGGGCTTTGAATATTTGATTACCCAATTATATGAATTTTTCAATACAGTGCCTGCTTATGGTAAACCCAATAAAAACTGGGCCCTAGAAAAGAAAGAGGATCAAGAAGTGGAGGGAGGTCGGAGGGAGGGAGGGAAAGCAAAACAGATGAAAGAAGGACCTGAGATGTGTTATGTATGTACTAACGAAACATTTCAATAATAAAATAAAGGTAATCATGAAACTTACCCCTTGGGCTTTGAATATTTGATTACCCAATTATATGAATTTTTCAATACAGTGCCTGCTTATGGTAAACCTTCAATAAAAACTCATTATTAAGCCACTGTCTTTTTTTTTTTTTTTTGCATTTTGTATGACATCAATCTCATTTTTTAAAACCTTGCAGATGTTTAAAAAACTTATGAGGTTAAATTACACGTGAATTAGAAACCAGCCTTTTTTTCTTTTATTCACTGGTGAGGTAATCAAACATTCAGGAATGTAAAGTCCCAGGGTAGAACACACAAACGTTGTGGTCTCTGAACCCGGGTCTAAATCCAGACCTGCCCTGTGTTCGGCAGCACACTCACGACACTCCTCATCTCAGGTTCTCACCCAGAAAGTAGAGATGCTATGGTTCATGCTTTAGTTGGTGGTTTGGAGGAATAAGCTAAAATGCACAAAGGGCTTAAGGCAATGCTTGGTACGTACCAAGATTTCTTACACCATTGTAAAAATTTCATATTAATACTTTCAGTCTAGATTTGCTTTGAGGTTTTTGTCCTTAGATATATTAATTAAAAGGACTATACTTAATTTAAAAACTTTATAAGGAAGTCCTTGGTATTCAAGTAATATTGTGAAATTTAAGCTTGGCTTGGTCTTTGGATTTGAAACTGAAAACTTCCACCCTCATGTTGAATTGTCCATGTTCAATTACCTCTCCTCTGATGATCCTGGAGATTCTCAGATATAGTAGCTTTAAAATCTAAATGTGAGAAATTCATGCTTTAAAAAATTGCTTTAAGTTTTTTTAGAAAGATAAACTTGTTTTGCTTTGAAAAAATTATTTGATGAAGAAACAGACTTCACAGAACAATGAGGTTGTGCTATAAATTTGATTAGAATTTAGCTGTTATTTTTGAATTATAAATGAATTTTATGTAAGTATAAAAATTTATGCAATTTAATAGTAGAAAATATATAATTTTGTGAAGTGGTAAAATCGTATTATAAATGTTATATATTATGCATGATACATTACATAAATTTTTATATTTTCACAATGTAAAATTTCAAAGTTTCATAACTTTACATAACTAGTCATTTGAGTGCTTTAAATTGAATTCTTCATCTTTATAGTACATTACTTTAATAAACCTGACTTCCTAGAGCATCACTTGTGCCTAAATAATATTGTTAGGTGGATATCTTTGTTCATTATTTACTCAGGGATACTTATTATGCAAATATCTTACAGGAACTGTTGATGAGTACCAGTTGCCTTATTATGATATGGTGCCTTCTGATCCCTCAATAGAGGAAATGAGGAAAGTTGTTTGTGACCAGAAGTTTCGACCAAGTATCCCAAACCAGTGGCAAAGCTGTGAAGTAAGGCTTCGTGGTTTTTCTTTTGTGTTTTGATTCGGGTTTGTTTTCAGTCCTAAGCTATGTTCCTATGGGTGTTCTTTCTATCTGTTATATTTTTCAGATGAGTATCAGGGAGAATTTTCAGAGACCGTGTAGTACTTTTTTAACTCTCCAATTCATTCCATATAAGTCATCAGAATTATTTTATTCCCTTTAGCAGTATGTATCCATAACAAATGCTTCCTTCCCAAAATCCTGGTGAATTTATACAATAAGGCTTCCTATCTTGCTCACAATGAGCCCGCTATAGATGGGCAATGTTCCACTACGGATGGTCTCTGTTCACATTGAGGGGGCTCACTGATCCGGGGTGTGAGTCTTCCTGCACAGTTCCCAGGTCTCAAGGTCAGGAGAGAGGGGACAGAGGATGCAGAGAGGGGACACACAGCTCCCTAATGCTTTGGCACAGGGGACATTATTTATGTTCATGCTTCGGACCAGAGCCAGTCACACGGTCCTAGCTAAGCAAGGGATCGCGAGTTGTTATGGAAAGTTCGATGGGTAGTCAGTGTTTATACCACATAGACAATTCCAATTCCAGCTTTCGTCATCCTTACAATCTGTAGCTAATTCCTAATGCTAACCTACTGAAATTTGAACCCAATTTCCCTATTTTTTTTTGTTGTTGTTATCCCAGTACTGGAACTGCTATATCAGTGCCTTTTCCTCCTTTTCCAAATCTTTTTTCCTCTTTTCATATTTCTGAACTTTTTATACAAGGTAAATCTTTGTATTTCTTTGTTTTATAGTTATCTTATCTAGTGGGTATCCTTGTTTTCCTCCTTAAAACTTTTAATTTTTCACTTTTGAATATGGTATGTGATATATATCAATATATATATGTGTATTTATGAGTGTATATATATTTGTATATATAAGTATAATTCATTTCAAAATTTATTTTGCTATTGTAAAAAATTAAATTGAATAAAACTTGAGTTTGGTTTTAATAAAGGCTTTGTCCCTGTTGATGAGGTGATGTTATGTGACTTCTGCTTTAGTCTTTTAATGGAACAAATGCATTTATAGATTACCACTGTTAAACCAATCATGCATTTGTACCATATACCCCACATAGTCTTATGCGCAATCAATTTTGCTTATGATTTATACATGCAGTTTTCTAGTAATTTATTTATATATTATTTTAGGTTAACCCATTGTATTAGATATTATCATTTTCTTGGCTCAATATTTCTTCTTTCAGGCCTTTCTTCTAAAATAATTTTCTGACTTTCTGATATGCATCCTTAAAAAGTTTTTCTTTTCCCACTTGGTGACAACCTAGTGGTTTTAAGTTTTTCCAGTTTGGCTTGTCCAAAAATGTCTTAATTTTGTCCTCAATCTTGAACTAATTTATGTATACAAATTGGGATTAATGGTTATTTTCTATAAATACCTTAAAGTTACTATTCCACGGTCCTCTGACTTCCGTTATTGCTGTTGAGATGTCAGAAAGTTACCAATTTGTGTTTGTATTTATATTTTATTTCTGATTACTTTTAAGAACTTCTCTGTGTCTTTAGTGTTTTGCAGTTTCTCTGAGTGGATTTTAACCTTGCTAATTCTAAGAGCCTGTGTTATTTTTCAGTTCTGAAAATTCTGCAATATTATCTATTTAAATAGTTTCTCTTCTCATTGTCTCTAATGCTCATTTTTGGACAATGCATTGAATTCACATTAACCTTTTATTCTATTTAGCTAGTTTTTTTATTTGATCATATTTGTATGCTTTATCTCTCAGAATTATCATCTAGTTCTTTGTCTTCAATGCATCTAATCTGCTGTTTGACTCATTGATTGGGCAATTTTTTGTTAATTTTTTCATATCAAAAAATTTTATTGGTACTTTCAAAATATTTTTGGTTTTTACTCATATTTGGAATTTTTTTTCAAACCATTTATTTATTTATTTATTTTGGTACTTGGGATCAAACTCAGATCCTTGCACTTGCAAGGCAAGCAGCAGAACCACTGAGTTAAATCCCCAGCCCTCCAAACCATATTTTATATAGTTACTTTATACCATTAATTATAACATCTGACTTATGGTTCTCTTTTGTTGGTTATTGTCTCAGTTGGCTCTGTTGATAGTAAGTCACTTCCTCAGGTATTTTGGATTTTCACTACGAGCTCAGCTTCACCACACTATTTACAATTATGGGCTTAATTTTTTTCTTCAGAAGCCAAGACTTCAGCAATTTCTTTTACAAACTTCTTTTCTAGAATAAACTCATCCTTAATTTTGGGGCTTTAAGCATCTTTGACATTTTTTGTTTTCTTTAGGCTGAGTTTCCTGTCTTTCACACATGTACCACCAATTCTGAAATTCTAATCCAGACCACAAAATCTAAAGATGCTACCAGAGCATCTACCTGCTTTAGTGATTTCTGTCACTCTCTGGTTTTGTGCTTTTGTGTTGTTCCCTATCTAAGTATTTATCTTCTTTCTTTATCAGTTTATTTATGCTGAATTTTAAAATTAACATTTTTTATATTTATACTTGAAGCATTATTTTTATTGTGGTGTAGTTTAAATATATAATAAAAAACATAAGCTTTAGTCAAGAGCATGATGCATCCTTTTCATATATACCCACATGTGTTTACTACCCACTCAGGTCAAGATGCAGGGAATTTCCCTTCCCTTTCTATAGCCCTTCATGTTTTTCATGTCTCTGCTTGGAGAATTTTGAAAGAGCTATTCAGACACAATCTCAGACACCAATGGGTTGAATTTTCAATTAAGTTAATCTCTATGTAGTTAATCTCTATGTAGTTAATATTTTGGAGGTTTGAGAGAAGTTTTAACAATTGATTGATCTCAGTATCCTTGTATTGTTTCAAATCTATGGTTTTTCATCAAGTTTAAAAGTAATCACTGGGTTTGTGATTTTGCTTCTTTTATACTTAGTTTGTGTACGTAGATAATTGTTTGATGTTTTTCTCTCTTTTAAAGTCACTCAGAGTCATGGGGAGGATAATGCGTGAGTGCTGGTATGCCAACGGGGCCGCACGTCTAACCGCCCTTCGGATTAAAAAGACCATTTCCCAGCTCTGTGTCAAAGAAGATTGCAAAGCTTGATGATAATCCCATCAAAAGAAATCTGGCACAGCTTTCTTTCCCATTTTCCCTTTTTATTTGAATGTTTTTGCCACATTTCTTTCCCATTTTCCCTTTTTATTTGAATGTTTTTGCCATTTTCTTTTTCCTTTTTTTTTTTTTTTTGGTTCTACCTCAGAGATAATACAGTACAGTATTTAAGTGCCCAAAGGCAGTGTGAAAAGATAACTCTAAAGTTAAGTATGGGCAGGAGCTGATTTTACCCAGCCTCCTTGTTCTTCTCTATGTTTATTTTCAAAAGCAACACATGAACTCATCATTTTATTTAATGAGAAAAATATTATAATATTGTAAAATAAGCTATATAAAAATAAGTCATTAAGATTTTGTTTTACTTGAACCAACAGCACATGAATGAATAGAAAATAATGTAAAATATATTTTTCCTCAGATGAAAAATATTCATTAAAAATGTGAACTGGAGAATATTATAGCTAAGCACTTCTTTAGATCATGTAATTTATTGTTTTCCCTTTTGAAATTAGTAATATTCTTTTGAAAAATAAATAGTGCTCTGAATTTTAGTATATAAAACACTTAGTAATGGTGGAACTGCTTGGTGAAATATGGAAGTGAGGTCAGAGTCCCATTTGCTTGATCTCTCCTCTTCATAACCCACTACCACCACAGTCCCTAAAGCAAATAATTTGAAAGCCACTAAACTTATTACTTCCTCTCATTTACAGAAGAGACACCTGACATTTTGAAATACTAAGAAAAGTACTGAAGTCATACACCTAATGGCACAGTTGGCAATAGCCCAGATCTGTGACAGTCAACACTGAAGAGTTAGCCAGCCTCCTGCTTTTTCTTGATTCCCAAAGTACTTTTCTCCTTTTACAGAAACATCCTGCAGTATGCTATTTATAGTTTAGTCATATAGAAAGTATATTGAATTATTTTACAGAATTACAATTGACCTGCATGGAATGTTGGAAGCATATCTAATACATATGACATTTTCCTCATAGAAATGTAATAGTTACTCTGTTTGTTAATGACTGTTTTTTGCACACTTCCAAAGATTAACCAAACACAAGTATCCAGTGTCTGAAGATACCTTAAGATGCAACTCGCAAGTCATATTACTTTTGTACATACAAAGTTGGAGGAAAGGGATAGAAAAGGGGAGAAAGCAAAGAAATATTTTGAGAGAAATTTTAAAAACTCTTCAAAATTTGTAGCAGTGAGAACCTAAAGAGTATCAGACAAGTGGGCAGATATTTCCCTACTCTTTCAAAAGGAGCAGATGGGTGCAGAGCAATGTTCATGATAGTTTTTCTTCATTGCACTTCTTGTGAAGACAGAGTGGTGAATATTTAATGAGATGCTGCATATTTCCATCAAGTATATAATACTGCTTGGTGAAGGAGATTTCACGTGTTGACTTTTATTTTTCCAAAAGGTTGTTTCCCAAACTTTGATCCTTAGAAAGTTCTTTTGCTGAGGTGATCCATAAAAATATTTTTCAATAGCGTGATACTGAACACTAGCATATAGTGTACTTTGAGAAGTCTAGTAGTGACAAAAGTTACTTGAATATTTTTAAAAACTGTGTATGTCAAATTATTTGGCCACAATGGAAGTGCTTTATTAAAGGGAGAGGAAAGATTTTACTATCTCACATGTAAGTGTTCTACAGAGTACAAATTGGGTGATAGTCAATATATTTTCACATAGAGCACAATTTAGTAATTATACTTCTCTTCAACATGGAAATACATTACTGAATCCATCTTCATTTGATTCGGTTGAGATAGGAAAGATAAAAAGGTGACAGCTGAGGGGATACTTTCATTCTCATTCACGCATTCCTACGTTTATTAAATAATCATGGAGCACCCCATATCTTGCTTGCCACAATATTGGGCTCAAGGGGGAATAAAAAGTAGTTAGGTCCTGCCCTCAGGGATTTTAAAATCTAATTTGGGAATGGGAAAAGTGATACCAGCACTTGGGAAGGAAATAAGTTGACAGATAAAATACGAAGTGGGATGTCTTGAGCTTTGTGTGACAGTGGGTTTCAAGAATAGGTGTGAAAATCACTTTCAATTTGCAACACATTTAGAAAGTATCTTTATTTGGATATTACAGTCTAAATATATCACCAATTTAAAAAAGGGATTTCAAAAAGAACATATGTGAGGGGGTAATTTTGTTTGTACTTATTATTTTATTTCTCATAGACTTGTTTTTGCACATAAGAGAATGAAATTATTTATTTACTATGGTCTTGCTCTAGTCTCAAACAAGAATAACGTTTCTTGTTTTATTCATGTATGTTGGGCGAACATACTTATTGAATTTTTAGGAGAAGATATTTTAACTTCTCTTATTTCTCATGATGTTCAATAATTTATTTGAGAGTATATAAATATGATTCCATATTTTACTGATCTACCTTTTACTCTTGATAAATCTGTACATTGGTACATTTTGACGTATGTATTTTTGTTTATTTATTTTGTTGTTGGTGGTTAGCAGTGACTTCTAACTGAATGATCTTATGCTTCAATTATGAAATCCATCTTTTAATGAAAGGGATAGAGCAACAGATATGATAAGAAAAACATTAAGAGTCATAATTTTTCCTTAACTCTCAACATAATTGTACAAAAAAGTGTTCATTGATAAAAATAGGACAAATTTTAGAGTGGCAGGCAGATTTTCTGTATATATCTAGGCTGCTAAATTTTATATGATTTGTTCTTAGTGGTGTTCCATTGTGTAATATTTGTCACTTTTTAAATTTGTTATTAAGAAAGAAATTCTTCATAGGTTAGGTTCAGAGTATCAGTGATCTTTTGCTCCTTTCAGTTATTTTGACTTTGGGGCATGATGCAAAACTTGGGGAAATATGACTATGAATTCTCAGTATTTTACAAAGAGGTAATGGGATTTATATGCAGCATCACTCTCTGAAAATATGAGAAACATTACTTGTCAATATTCAAGCATGGTCTTATTGCCTTATAAGTTATGTGTTTAAGTTTGTAATTGGTAGATTCTTTTGTATGCTTTCTTGTATGTCTAAAATATTTGGCATGTCACATCTAGAATTCTTAATTGTGTTCTGACTTGAGAGTTAAGTGAAACATGACTGTCGTGCACTATTTTAAGCGTAGCACTTGCTTTTCATCTTTTTACTTTCAATTAACTTTGCATTTTAAATTTCCATGATTGTATGAAAATAGTAACCTGGGTGCAGTGTCTGAAGAATTCAAAATCAACTTTTATTGTAAAATGAAAAGCTACAATGGATTCCTTAGGTTAGAAGTTCTATAGTAATTTATCATTTTATAACTTCTACTATTGTAGAATTATTAAGCAGAAGAAAACAAAGCTACTTTCTTGGAATTTTGCCACCATATAACTTAGTGGGGCAGAATGAACTCAGGGCTATCTTGGAGATTACACCTAGGTACCAGGGTCTTTTCAGCCAGTCACTTGAAATTAGAGAGCTGGCTGACCTTTGCCATTATGCAGTGTTCAACTTAAAATTACCTGTCAGGGAATAGTTTCTGATTGATTATTTGTCCAAACAAATTTATTTAAAATTTGGAAATTTTATTTGCCATTAAAAATCAAGTAAAAGTAGCAAATGAAAAAAAGTTGTCAGTTGATATTTTCAATAATTTTTCCTTTATGTAAGTTTATAAATACAACATCATAAACTCCTCAGAAGTGTTTAGTATTAGTATTAGTATCTCCAAATGGTGTCATATGTTTTTTTGGAAGATATCCTTAATCTTGTGTGTGTGTGTGTATGTGTGTCAAACTTAACCTTTCTCTGTTTCATAATACTTTGTCTATCCATATGTTAACACCTAGTTGGACTTTATCCACAATGTTTTGGTGAAGACAGTAAACTCTGATTGAGGCTTCTTAGGATTTCTAATCAGAAAAAAATAGCATCCGAAATAGGAAACTTTCATTAAAATTTTAATATGAGGAAATTCTGTAATGCAGGCAGTTTTCCAAAGCATTTTAATGCAAATATTCAGATATTTGACTTTCCTTTTTCCCCTCTAGCTTTCTTTTTGTTTCACTATGTTTCTCACTTTCTTTTAAAAATAAGTCCTCATTAATCTTCAAAATTATCATTACTTCTAATTTTAACCCATGATAATTATTTACTTAATTATTCTGAAATTTTAGCCTTTTCATCTAAAGGGATTCCCAATTGGTCTAAATTGTTTCACATCTGTCAGAGCTAAAAATGAAAACCAGAACTTTTAGGAATTAGAAAGAATCTAAGATATTTTGTAGCTTGATTCCAATATTATACAGAAACCAGAGGTGAGACAATAAATGACTACTAGTTATTTCAGAAACCCAGTAGTGATACTTACAACTTTGTCTTGCCCAACTTCTACTAATTAAAAAATTAGTTAAAATGCATCTACCTTGATTATATATTCACATAAATATGCCATTGATGATGATGATGAAATTCTGCTGTTCTCTGTTTCCATTAAAATAATTTTCTCAGATTAAAATAATTTTCTTAGTGAGGAAAATTAAAATAGACAAAGGATGAACTTCAGAATGGTTGTCATGCTAGACAGGCAGCCATTGGAAAGCTGATAAACCTGATGGATAAAATTGAAGGCTGAGGAGAGGACAGCTGTGCAAGGATTTCTCTAAGGATTGTCTTTATGCTCAGGATGGGTTGAAAAGTGATTTGCTAGGTGAATTTGGGACTATGTCTAGTGACATATTATTTGACTTTTTCTCTTCTCAGTTTTATTTTCAGCATTCATGTTCTTTCAGCACATTAAGAAACCTTAACTGGATTTCATCAACTCTAAATCACTTCACAATCTTGTCTTTCTTCAATTGTACTCTAACCCTGTCCAGACCGTTACACATTGGAATTCTTAAGAAGATTTTAATTTTCCCACTCATGTATGAGAGGTTTCGTCTCATAACTTCACCAGTAATTATTCTCTTGGCACTATAAAAAGGGTTCTGTTAATGGCAGAGATGACTTTCTTTTAAACTTTAAAAAGTCTA